GATTCGAACCGCCACCTTAGGTATATATGGTTGGCGCCTTAGCCACTTGAGCCACAGGCTCCGAGCCTGAATCCCATTTTCTTCATTATAAGATGAGGATGTGATCATTGTTCTCATGTAGAATCTTTAACAAAAAGCTAGAATAGAATTTGATGCCCTGCTTGGGAGGCATCATATGCTAAATGAATGTTGGTACAATATTGCCCCATGAAGTCAATGGGGTTTGGGGCTGGGGTTAGGAATGGGGCCCAATCAAGGGGTGAGTGAGCCTCAGTCTGAACTCAAACCACAGACTTCAGGACTCACATCCAAGGTCACGCTCCAACCTGGAAAATGATGGCAGACTCAATCCGGAGGTCCCCTCTCCGACGGCGCCCTCCACTCACCGTGCAGGTAGGATGGGATGACTGTTCCGAGGCCACACGCAGCCCGTTGTCCAGAACGCTAACCTGAGTCTCTGGTACGTACTGGAGGGCCTGGGCGAAGGTTGCGGTACTCCGCAAGGCAGGAGCCCTCAGTAGGGCCGGCTGTGTAAAGGGACGACCACGAGTGAGGACTGAGTAAGAGATTGGCTCCGCAGCTCCCTGGCCCACAGGGGGACCCCTGGGCCCGGCCCTCAGCCGTGACCTTCCCATGGCTCTGACACCGCGTCCTTTCCTCCCCACCTTCGACCTGCCACCGCTAACAGCCCGCACCCCGTCTGTGTCCCGAAGCCCTGCGCCCGGAAGCCCCGATCCCTCGCTGCCACCTCACCGAACGGCGAGTGCGTAGGAGCACTTGAGCCCCGGCGCTAGCAACCCGGCTGACCACAGACGCCGCCATTTTCTAGTTCCTGTAGGGGTTAAGCTGCGCTGCGCACGCGTAAAGTGGCCGGCTGCCTCGATGGCGCCCGAGGCGCAGGCGCAGCAGCAGGGGCCGGACAGCTGACTTGGCGCTCGGCCGCCTCCTAGTGGAAGCAGATTCACGGCGCTGGTGGTTGCTTCGGTCTGCTCTTGGACGAGTTGGCCTGACATCCAGCTGCCCGCACGGTCGCGGACGCTGCCCGGTCCATCTCCTTCTTCCACCCATAGAAGGCAGAGTGCGCGATGTTTTCCACCAATAGCAGTGCCCCAGGATCCACTACTAGAGCAGAAGCCTGGCGGGCCCGAAGCGCACCCACGGCAGGTCCACGGGTCCAAGCCAAGGGGCTTAAAGCATCCGCGTGGAATCCTGGGACCAGGAGGCAGCAAAGTCAGTTTTCTTTCTTTCTCTTTCTCTCTCTCTCCTCTCTTCCTTACTTCATTTCTTTCTTTTTCTCCCTTCTCTCTTTCTTTCTCCCCTCCCCTCCCTTCCCCCCCCCCTTTTTTTGATAGAGTCCCAGTCGCCTCGGTAGATTGCAGTGGCATCATAGCTCACAGCAACGTCAAATTCTTGGGCTCAAGGGATCCTCCTGCCTCAGCCTCCTGAGTAGCTGGGACTACAGGCAATCGCCACAATGCCCAGCTTTTTTTATTTTTTATTTTATCTTTTTTTTTTTTTTTTAGACAGAGTCTCACAGTGTTGTCCTGGGTACAGTGCCGTGGCGTCACAGCTCACAGCAACCTCAAACTCTTGGGCTTAAGCGATTCTCTTGCCTCAGCCTCCCAAGTAGCTGAGACTACAGGCGCCTGCCACAATGCCTGGCTATTTTTTTGTTGCAGTTGTCATTGTTGTTTTAGCTGGTCCAGGCTGGGTTTGAAACCGTCAGCCTCGGTGCATGTGGCCCGCGCCTTAACCACTGTACTACAGCACCCAGATAATTTTAGAGACAAGGTCTCACTCTTGCTCAGGCTGGTGTGGAACTCTTGAGCTCAGGCAATCCATCCACCTTGGCCTCCTACAAGGCTAGGATTACAGGTGTGAACCACTGCGCCAGGCCTCAGTTTTCTTTTTAAGACAATGAAGTAGGCTCGGCGCCTGTGGCTCAAGCAGCTAATACACCTGAGCTGGCAGGTTCAAATCCAGCCTGGCCCACCAAACAACAATGACAGCTGCAATAACAACAACAACAAAATAGCCCGGCATTGTGGCAGGGGCCAGTAGTTCCAGCTACTTAGGAGGCTGAGGCAGGAGAATCGCTTGAGCCCAGGAGTTGGAGGTTGCTGTGAGCTGTGATGCCGATGCCACAGCACTCTACCCAGGGTGACAGCTTGAGGTTCTGTCTCAAAAAAAAAAAAGACAGTGAAGTAGATTCAGATAGTTGACCTGGAAGGAGTTTAACAATACTGTATACTGCCAAGATACAACAATGTAAGAGATTAATTTGGTTTTGTTTTTTGAGACAGTCTAGCTCAGTTGCCCCAGACCAGAGTGCCATGCATGACTCACAGCAACCCCAAACTCCTGGGCTCAAGCAATCCTTCTGCCTCAGCTTCACAGTAAAACTGGAACAACAGGCACCTACAGTAAGGCCCTGCCAGTTTTTCTTTTTTTGGTAGAGACAGGATCTCACTGGCTGGTCTCAAACTCCTGAGGCTCAAGTAATCCCCTGTCTCAGCCTCCCACAGTCCTAGGATTACAAGAAGAGCCACCAGTCAACCTAGAGATTATTTTCTGAAATAGAATTCTTTGTTTGGAAAACAAAACAAAGAAAACCAAAACAAAACAAAGTAGTGTGCCTTTCCCAATAGAATGCAGAGAAAATCTGGCAGAATACAATCTAAACTTTCAACTAGGTGACTTTTGGAAAATGGATTTTCTGGAAGGGAAAGAAGACTATCATTTCTTATACTTCTATATTATTTTAATACGGATTTTTTTTTTTTGAGACAGAATCTCACTTTGTTGAACTTGGTAAAGTGCCCTGGCATCACAGCTCACAGCAACCTCTAACTCCACGGCTCAAGCAGTTCTCTTGCCTCAAGCCTCCCAAGTAGCTGAGACTATAGGCACTTGCCACAGTGCCCAGCTATTTTTAGAGATGAGGTCTAGCTCTGGCTCAGGCTGGACTAGAACTCATGAGCTCAGACAATCCACCTGCCTGGGCCTCCCAAGTGCTGGGATTATAAGACCCCAGTCACCGAGCCTGGCAGTTTCCCTTATTATTAACATTTTACACTAATATGATACATTCATTGCAATTAGTAGACTAATATAGGTATATTGGTATTAACAGAGCTCATTCAGATTTCCTCCCTTTTTTATCTCTGTACAGGATACCACATAGCACTAAGTTCTTTGTATCTTTAGGTTCCTCTTGCCTGTGACACTTCTGGTTTTTTTTGTTTTTTTTTTTGAGACCCTTAAGCTATCCCCATGGATAGAGTGCTGTGGCATCACAGCTCACAGCAACCTCCAACTCCTGGGCTCAAGCGAGTCTCTTGCCTCTGTCTCCCAAGTAGCTGGGACCACAGGCGCCTGCCACAACGCCTGGCTATTTTTTTTTTTTTTGATTACAGCCATCATTGTTGTTTGGTGGGCCCGGAATGGATTCGAACCCGCCACCTTAGGTGTATGTGGCTGGCGCCTTAGCCACTTGAGCCACAGGCGCTGAGCCGACACTTCTGGTTTTTTAACACAATTATTTGTCATTATAAAAAAAAACAAAACAAAATTTGCAGGTATTCATTTACTTTGTAAGTGGATCAAGTACAGTTGAACAAAATAGGACAATAGAAAATGTACAAGAACTGAACAAGGGTGGGGTGCAGTGGTTCACACTTGTAATCCTAGCACTCTGGGAGATGGAGCCAAAAGGATCACTTGAGCATAGGAGATCAAACCAGCCTGAGCAAGAGTGAGATCCAGGTATGATAGTGTCCCTGTAATCCTAGCTACTAGGGAAGCTGAGGCAGAAGGATTCCTTGAGCCCAGGAGTTTGAGATAACAGTGAGCTATTTACTCTAGTTCAGACGACAAAGCAAGACCTTGTCTTAAAAAGGAAAAAAAAAGGTGTCTTGAATGTTCGGTATGTGGAATATCATACCAATGACAGGAACTTTCCAGAAACATAGAAATAGAGCCATTATCTAGACCCCATTGGGGGAAAAAATCTCTAAAATGTTGAAGACCAGTGTCTGGGAAAGGACACAAGTTCAGAGGGGCTGAGCAGGTTCTCCAAGAGCAGGTTCTAAAATAACTTGAACCTCCTCATGAAATGGATCATTAGCAATTGGACTTGATTCATACATACCAGTGTTGGGAAAAATTGGCTTTAAACTGCACATTCTTCAGGGAGAATTATTATTATTATTTTTTTGCAAGTTTTTTTTTTTGGCCAGGGCTGGGTTTAAACCCACCACCTCTGGCAGATGAGGCCTGCGCCCTACTCCTTTGAGCCACAGGTGCCACCCCAGGAGAATTATTTTTGTCTGCCACTTTATTAAAAAGTCTTTACCTGTGCAAAGGTATAAAACTTTTATTTTCTTTTCTAGGATTCAGTTTAATTCTTTTCACCCTTTCTTCCTTCTCTTTTCCTTCATACTTACAACAAATATGTACTAAGCACCTGATAATGTTCTGGGGCCTGTTTTATGTAGTGGGGATACACTGAGGCCACAGAAAGTAACAAAAGAAGGATTGATATATAACAGCATTTCAGGTGGTATGAGGGTTCTGAAAAAATTTCAGCCTGGTAAGAGAATGGGGCGCTGTGATACTATGTTGACCAGGCTGGTTTGTTGTTTTGTTTTTGCGGGGGCAATTCGAGACAGAATCTTACTCTTTCACCCTGGGCAGAGTGCCATGGCATGATCATAGCTCACAGCAACCTCAACTTTTGGGCTCAAACAGTCCTCTTGCCTCGGCCTCCCAGAGTGCTAGGATTACAGGGATGAGCCACAGTGACTGGCCCAGGCTGGTCTTGAACTCCTGGTCTCCCACCTTGGCTTCCAAAGGCTGAGATCGCAGGCATTAGCCATCATGCCCACCCCTTGTTATAGTCTTTTTTATAATAATATTGAGGCACTTTAGGCCTCAGGAGCAGGCCTCAGAAAACAGAATCTTTCTCTGACCTTCTCCTGCCCTTCCTTCACCTGTTCCTTTCTCTCCCCAAGGCAGGAATCTTCCCCCATATTTCTGTCTCGGAGCTGGCCATATAGTAATTCTCTGACCTGCCTTGTCTGATTGTAGGTCATAAGACTTCCATTTCAGAAGGGGTCCTGCCCCATACCCTCAAGGAAGGAATGCTGCACAGAGAGGCTAAAAAGAATCTGACCAGACAGACCTTGCGGAGTTTTCCCCCTCAGTCAATTAGAACATTCCCAATTTGGGCCCAGCTTGTGGCTTATGCCTGTAGTCCTAGCACTCTGGGAGGCTGAGGTAGGTGGATTGCTTGAACTCAGGAGTTTGAGACCAACCTAAGCAAGAGTGAGACTCCATCTCTACTAAAACAAGAAAAAAAACTAACTGAGTATTGTGGCCAGTGCCTGTATTTCCACCTGCTCGGGAGGCTGAGGCAAGAGGATCACCTGAGCTCAGTAGTTTGAGGTTTCTGTGAGCTATGACACCAGAGCACTCTACCTAGGGTGACAAAGTGAGACTCTGTCTCAAAAAAAAAAGAGAGAGAGAGAAAATATGCCTTTTTTCTGCAACCCCATTTCTACATGGTTTTCAAAGACGCCATGCAAGGCCTAAGAGGGCATGTTTTAGAGAACTTTTGTTTTTGTTTTTTTGCCATTTTTGGCCAGGGCTGGGTTTGAACCTGCCACCTCTGGCATATGGGACCGGCGCCCTACCCTTTTGAGTCACCGCCCTTTGGAAAACTTTTGTGTAGCTGAACACAGGAAGGTGTCCTTGGAGGGTGACATGCCTGGAGTGGGCATGGAAGCTCCATACGTCTTCCCTACACCTCACCCTACGCATCTCTTCAACTTTATCTTTTGTAATATTGTTTATAATAAACGAAT